GCCCAGCAAGCTACCAAGAGTATCCTTCCTGCACTGCAGAGTCTGGCAAGCTCCCTGGTTGTATTTGATATGCAAAAAAACAGTAACAAAGAATCTCACAATGGAGACATCACTGGTGCCTGCTCTAGCAAATTGATGAACAATGGAAGTACAGTGCTACAGTGCTATTATTATTATTATTATTATTATTATTATTATTATTCCATAATCTGTGTTGTTCTAGGTTGTGGGAAAAAAAGAAGAAAAGAAGGCTACTTTAGACTTGGTATATTCAAGGGTAATGCTTGGCAGTGCTCAGGGACTATGGAGCGCTAGGGTTGGATCTCAGACCTTCTGCATGCAACGCTTGTGCTCTAGCTTTCGGACCTGTCTCTCCAGTCCAGCATGTAAAGTTTTATGAGTTAATAAGTACCAACTTTTAGAACAATTCTTACATAATAATTTTTATAGAGACGCTCTGTCAATGTTTATTAATTTTTATTATTTCTTTTGAGTGACTTCTTTGAAGAGTTCTGTTTTTCTTTTATCTATCAGGTAGTAGTGATTTGAAGCGATAAAAGGAATGTTTTAAAGTTTTCTAATAGGAACCCTACTCTGAATTTAGGTCTGTAGTCAAATTACTAAGATTATATGTAAGTTGGTAGAAAAAATCACTCAGATTTTGGGTCATACCCAGCAATGTGCAGGGGTTACTCCAGGCTCTACGCTCAGGATTCACTCCTGGTGGTGCTCGGAGGACCATATGGGATGCTGGGAATCAAACCCGGGTTGGCTGCATGCAATGCGAACTCCCTACCCGCTGTACTATTGCTCCAGCCTCTGTTCCTTAACTAACTATTTTAGTCCTAAATAAAAATGTTTTCTAAAAATAAAATATTTATCCTGATTAAGTCATTTGTTATTTTGTAATATAGATTTACATTTTAATTCAGTAATCCTAAACTTACAAAACTATAAAAACATGAAAATTATAGATGAATTCTGATTGCATTTGAACTTTACAGCAATATGGAATAATTTGTATCTACTTAAAATGAGTGTATACTTTTAATTTAAATAAATGAAATCATCTTTTTGTCTTAGAGTAATCTTAGGTTAGAATGAAATTACCGTTTGCAGTTACATTCACTAATGTGGCTCTCTATTCTCTATCAGTTCTCTGTCAATCTATCAATTCTCTTTCTTCCTTTTTCCCCTCTCCTCCTTTCTTCTTACTCAAGTGTCTCCCCACAATCAACCAGGGAGTCTCCCTTGGGCCTCAGATTAATTTGTTCTACCACAAAACTCTACAGTGATATGTGCCACCTACTGGTTTCGAAGGAGAATTGCAAACCCAGATGATCAGTATTTGGATGAAGTACCTCCACAATGACTCCTGTGAGAAAATAGGAATTTAAAATGTTTTCTTTGAATTGTTCCTTTCCTCCAATGCTGGGAGGTGATGAATCTGAACTTTTCTCTTGGGACACTTTGTTATTAGTAGCCCTGAGTAGTGCACCCTCAGCCAACCTCTTTTTCATACTAATTTAACCTGCAAAACTTGGAGTCCAGTAACTCTGCAGGTTGTTACGCATTATAGACCTTTCTCTCAAATGAGTGGATCCATTCCAACAGTATCTAGATCATCTGTTCATACAGTAGACATTTTTTTCATATTTATCTCTGTCAACCCTTTTAATGTTTTATTAGATTAGTTAAATCATGGGGCATGATGTTCTTCCAACTTGCACTGTGCAGAATGACAGTGAGGCAACGTTTTCCCTCTCAGAAACCACCCAGATACCTGCCACGGAGTCTTTTTGTCAATGAGGGGAGACTAAACGCTGATGGGAGGTTTATATAAGCCTGTGATGAGGGGAAGGGTGGATATTTGACTTGAATTTATAGCATTTAAGCTCTCAGCCTCTATCTTAAAGTGCATTTTAGTTCTCTAGGATCTTGTATCCATAAACGTTCATAGCAGTGCTAGTATGGCAATGGTCTTTTACACTTCTCCCATTTTGTTATTTATTAAACTTTTTCTTTGTGCCTAGATATAAAAAGATTATAGACAATACAATAGCACAGCAGGTGGGGTGTTTGCCTTGCACACGGCCGACCCAGGTTTGATTCCTCTGCTCCTCTCGGAGCTACCGAGAGTATCTCACCTGCATGGCAAAGCCTGGCAAGCTACCTGTGGCATATTGATATGCCAAAAACAGTAACTACAAGTCTCACAATGGAGAGGTTACTGGTGCCCGCTTGAGCAAATCGATGAACAACGGGAGGACAGTGCTACAGTGCTACTATATGCCTGTAAAATGCTAAGTGATGTTTCTTATATCACTTTGTATCTTAGGATAAATTTCAGGGCACACACTTCCAGTGATGTAATTGACTTTATTTAGATTAGCCTGTTTTTGATTATTATATGATAATTAATCATTTCTATGAGCAAAATATTGAATGAATTGTTAGACTCCAAATTAAAGAATTGGCCATATTAACTTTGTGCGTGTGGATATTCTGCTCTGCGAAGCCTCATTAGTCCTTACTACCCTATGTGAATTTTACCCTACTGATTCAGTGACTTCTTTTTATTCATTATTTCTAGAGTGCCTTTGCCAAAATCAGTATCTGTGGATTCCATTGTGGCACTATTCATCATAAACTTCATTATCTCTCTCATCTTCATGTATGATCTTGTCAAATCTGTTGTTTCTTTCCTACAGATTCGATTCATACTTTCTCCATTCCGTATTTTTCATTTTTCTCTGATCCAGACCTTCATATTGCTCTCTAAGACTATATTGGCATGTTTCTCTTAACTTCTTTTCTGTGTCCTGGTCTTGTGCTCTCCAATTGATTTTATCATGAAGCAGTCACAATAAAAATGTGCGACTATAGCTTCCCTCCCTGATGAGGACACAGTCCAAACCTCTGCCACTGTGTTTCTGGAATAGTCTCCTTGGCATTTTCCCTTTTCTGTATCTCTCCCTCTCTTCCTGCCCCTCTCTGGGTTTTGCAGCCTGGCACACGGTTAATATGCCCTTCACCACTGTGGTCCTGATGAGGACCACTTAGTGTTTCAAGGTTCATCAGAGTTGGCAGGTCTCCCAATCTCATTCCTCTCCTAAGCTTGTAGTCTTAACTGTATGTTTACTAAACGATTTGAATTTAGTGAACTGCTTACAGATCATGAGCCCTGCAACTGAAGTCGAGAGTCAGGAAAATTTTGTTTTAAAGTTTTTTGATTATCAGTAAGTGTGTCTTTGTATGCCTATGCTATATATCTGTCTATCTAATTCACATAAAAGCTTCTTGGGCTAGAATAGTAGAGATAAATATCAGGAGGATTGCTCCAAGACTTGGAAGCTGGCCTCACTTGCTGAGGGGAAAAGCAGCTTAGATAGAAAGAGAAGGGATCACCAAGTAAAGGGTGCTTGGAGAGCCCACTTGGAATGGGAGATATTAGCTGAAAGTAGATTATAGACTGAACATGACAGCCACTCAATACCTCTATTGCAAACCACAACACCCAAAGGGAGAGAGAGAGAGCAAAGGGGAATGCCCTGCCACAGAGGTGGGGTGGGGTGGGAGGAGATGGGGTGTGGGTGGTGGGAAGGATGATGGGACCATTGGTGGTAGAGAATGGGCACTGGTAGAGGGATGGGTACTCGATCATTGTATGACTGAAACGTAAGTACAAAAGTTTCTAAGTCTGTAACTGTACCTCACAGTGATTCATTTAAAAATAAAAAAAAATAAAAATAAATTGAAAATTTTCTTGGGCAAAAAGTGTGTCGAGTGAACAAAGTTTAAGAAGCCTTGGTTTGGGAATTCCTGTATTCTGAGTATGCTTTTGCAGTACTTTTGCAGTGTGTTTTCTCATTAGAATGCCAGTTTCTGGACACCATGCCTTTCTTGTGGCCTTTGTAGTTCTAGAGCCTGCTGGTAGAAAATCTGACACAAGTAGGTGCCTAATAAACATTTTGTGAAATAATTCAATGATTTTATGAATGGCTTCTATATTAGAAAATCTTCTGGAAACTCCCCAGCAGATTATTAAATGTCTACCTTAGGGATATTTTTATTATCTAGTCTTGACTAATTGGTTCAATTAAGAGCACACCTGGGGTGAGGAATTAGATCAAATGGTAGACACATGCTTTGAGTTTACTAGTCCTGCGTTTGATCCCTGACACTTCATGGCCCCCACACACCATTTGGTGTATCCCTGGTTGCCCCACAATCAACATTCACACCCGCACAACTGGGCCAACCATCACTGAGAGTGGTCCCAGGTCCCCCAAGCATGAAAGAGGTAGAAAAATATGGTGTTCATGAAATCAAGCTTTTTATATTTTTTACTTTCTGGTAATGGGTTATTGATCCTACGGCCTCATTCATGTGCTGCTGCTGAGTTACATCCCTGGTCCCTGTGGGCAATTTAAAGTTTCATTCCTCTCTAAAGCAGGAAACTTCTTGTCATGTGAACTAGTCATAAATACCATTGGTTCTGACAGAAACGAGAGGAGCATGAATAAGGCTGGGACAAATATTCCTCAGTAATTTGAATGGAATATAATATTTATTAATATTAAAAACATACAGCTGGGGCCAGGGAGATAGTATAGCAGGTAAGGTACACACCTTGTATGCAGCCAACTGGATCCAGTCTCTGGCATTCCATGTGGTTCCACAAGCCTGCCAGAAGTGATTCTTGAGTGCAGGCATGAGCACCACTGCATGTAGCCCAGAAAACAAAAACAAAGCAAAGCCAAAAAAAACCCCAAATAACCATGTTTCTGTGTAAAATGAGAATCTTATTTCATCCCCATAGCCTATCTGTGTGTAGTGGTGTGTCTGCATTGAAGGTTCTCCTGCCCAGAACGTGGCAGATAGACTCAATCTTGGTAGTTCGGCAGCAGGAGCACCTGTCATTTAAGCATGGATCTCTTTGGAATTGCCACCTCTGAATCTGCCGCCTACCCAATTACCTCTTCATGTTTGTTTTCCAGGTGAGACGATGCGTGTAGCCTCTTCAGAGTTTGCGGATGACCCGTGCTCCTCGGTGAAGCGTGGCACCATGGTGCGGGCCGCGCGGGCCTTGCTGTCAGCTGTGACGCGCTTACTCATCCTAGCAGATATGGCAGATGTCATGAGACTCTTATCTCACCTGAAAATCGTACGTATGTCACAGCTTGCTTTGTGTGGCTGATTTTAGGGGGCAATAGTGGACATTTCAACTTCAGCTCTGATCTATACAAAAGATGATTTACCGTTGGGCTGGAAGGATGGTACTGCAGGGAGGACACTTCCCTTTTACATGGCCAATGCAGAATCCATCCCCAGCGTCCCATAGGATTCCTCTGACCCCGGCCAGGAGTAATGCCTGATACAGAATGGCATGAAACCCTAAGCACTGGCAGGTATAGCTAAAAGAAAGCCTCAAATAATAATGATAATACATAAAGATTAATCATTGCTTACCAGGCATTTGGTTACTCAGGCAGGTAGTGTTAGGGTCCATGATTTGAACAGAAGACACCTATAGAAGTTCAAAGATTTTATTAAAGAGAGTTGTGTGTGTGTGTGTGTGAGAGAGAGAGAGAGAGAGAGAGAGAGAGAGAGAGAGACACACAGAGAGAGAGAGAGAGAGTTGTTACAGATTGACAGACTGACCGGGCCAGGGCCGCGCCCCACACAGAAACGATGAGAGTATGACTACCTTCAACCACAGGGCAAAGTTTAAGTAGACTTGATGAGCACCAGGTACTTCCCCCATACCCATTGATTGACTGGTGCCACCTGCAAGTACCACAAGTACCTCTAGCCTTTGTTTCTCTGTCTATTTTGTTTCTGTTTCCAAGATGCACTCTAGGATATGGTGTGGGGTTTGTACCCAGTTCAGTTGTCAGTCACACAGCTTCTAGCATGGCTGGCTTCTAAAATGGCTACTCTTAGGGTCTTACTTAGAAAGTCTATCAGAGAGGTTATGCCAATGGTAGCACCCCCCTAGTTTTTTCTAATATTAACTTTTTGTTTAATAGTATATCCTAAACTTGAGGAAAATTCACATGGCCTGGTTTTCTTCTCTCAAAACAAGGATTTTGAATTTTACCTTATAGCTAGAGTAAAAAACTGTCTCGGGATGTAAGGTTGAGCTCAAGGCACAAGTGGACTAATAACTACCAAAGACCAGCTGAATATGAATCATGTGTTGAATGTGTTTTGACCCTGTTCTTGCCTGTCACTTCTATAGATCATGACTTTGAGCTTACCACAGTTCGCTGATTTAAAAATCCGCAATTCCTAGAAATATCCCCCACCACACTCCTATAACCAAATTTGAAACTTTCACTCCAAACATAACATCAAACATACCAGGAGTTGTTCTCTGAGCACTTATATGATCTGGAGCCCTTAGAACTCCATCTTAAGTGCTCTGTGGCATGATTTATTTTTGTTTTGTTTCCTAGTGGCAAAGGAGCCATTCTCAAGTCACAAATTTTACTGTACTGTTGACTGAGAGAGCCTTCCCTGTCCTTCATTGCTAGGGCTTCTTCATTTCTTTACATAGTGGCTAGTATCTCATTGTAACCAGGAGGATGAGGATTCCACCCTTTGAACTGAGGTAATGTAACTGAGGAATATGACTTCTACCTCCAAAAATCTCTATTCCATTCCTTCAGTGGATTTCACTTCTGATAATTAACACCAACCTTAAACTGGATGCAGAACTGTTCCTTGATGAGATCTGAATTATGAGACACTTCTTGTTTCCATTTGTTTTGTTTTTAGGTCCTGGGTTGTTTGAGCTTTGGGGGGGAATCAAGTTATTCTTCCCTTAGTTGCTCTTGTTCTAACCAGTCCTAGATTAATACTTCTGTAAGCCAACTTTTATGTTCTTAATTTCCTTGTCAGTGAAATGAACAGTGAGAGAGCAAGTGATATGAATAATGACTAGTGAGAATTTATTCTTACCACACCCTCCATCTCAGATTTGTTTAGTCTTGAGAGTTTCCTTAAGAAATGTGCAAACTCTGAAGTGCTCTCTTTCAAAATATTTGGGGTAGAGTTTTTTAACTGAGCTTGCCTGAATTCAGAGGTGGGGATTTCCAAATTACCTATAAATTAGCTCATGTAATTATGAAAATCCTGAAGTTCTCACATCTCCAACCAGAGTTCCATAATTTTAAAATCTCATAGCAGGTAGAACATTTGTCTGAGAAAACAAAGAACAAAGCAAAGCTTTCTTGGAATATGTTTCTTGTTTCTCATATTTGTCTCACAGAGTGGACTCTCAAAAGCTAAATTAATTAAAGGTAACACTTGTACACTAGATAAGCTGTAAGATAAGAGGCATCATGGGCATAACAAGGGGAATTGCAATATTATGATTCACTGTTAGTGGAGTAAGATTGACTAGATTTCATCTTAGTTCAGTGTCCCTTGACCAGCTGTATCATAACCTACCACATAAGCTTTCTTGTACAGCAGACAATTTTCCTCTTCATTTGAGGCTGATGTGAGAACTCTTAGAGTTGCATGGAACTTTAATTAAGGTGATATTTCCTGTGAGATTCCCGGAAGTGTTATCCCTGAGGAAGGTGCATGGTGAGTGTTTAGTAAACAAGAGCTTGGGTGCCACTGTCACAGCTCTGGAATCATGTGCAGGTTGCAGTGATGGCTGAGTGCCTCAAGCCTACCTGTCTTCTATACATCTTTCTCACCACAAATGACTTCATTCTCAAGTGAGCTGGGGATAAAGTTCTCTCTTCCCCTTCCCAATGGCTTAGACTTCAAATGAAATATTTTAGGGAAGAACCTTGCACAGGTAAGCAGTCTCCTCATACCAATGGTATTTAGACCTGAACCTAAAGAAATTAACTTTCCATCTTGTTTTGGTTTTTGTCTGTGCTGTCGAGAACCTTATTCTGGGAGTGATGATAGACTGAATATCCCCTGTGAGCTGCTACACATGGGAAGTACTCATAAAATCCACTCTGGCACATAGTATATGGCACCTAATGCTGCCAGTTCACCTACCTGCCTCTCCACGCACCTTTTTTTGACCAGCTCTGTCTGCTGATGGTATCATTGCATCCAGCACAGTATGGAGTCAATTGTATTTTCTTCCTGAAGAACAGATTAAGGGAAGTTTAAAAAAAAGATTTAGCACAAAACTATGGAAAAGTCAACCCAGTGATATTAAGTAGTTCTGTCAGACTATCACTAGTAAAATTAAGTTAAAAATGATAGTTAACTAAATAACGCAAGTGTTCTACTTAGAGCAGATTCAACAGTCAAACGTGGTAAATGTTGCTATCTTGTGGAAATAGTGGGGAACTGCAAGTATTGTTGTTAGCAAATCACCTGGTTGTGGTCAATGATGCACTTTGGGTTTAAGATGATCAGGGTATCAAGTAACAAGGCTAACTCATACTTACCCTACCTTCAGTATGTCAGCAGCAAATCATTTAACATGAACTTGGGACATCATTCTGTTTACTCATATTCTTTGACATTCATTTTTCCCTACCATAGAAGCACATCCTCTACTAATCAAGTATTTCCTGAAGTATCTATTTGCTTAATTTAACTCAAGATTTAGATATATTTATATATTTTGAAGAAGCAGGTGAGAAGTGACCATATTTATCTTTATTCAGGGTTTTCTATATATATTTGAATTTCTATACCATAGGAATGTTAAAGAGTTATCAGTGCTTTATAATGATGTGACTGATTTTCTGTTTGTTCACAAGATTGAATAATAACCACTAAATATTTATCATTGAGAATTTAAAAAAAAACTTTTTAAAACCTTTCCAGCAGTTTGTCATTTTTTCATTGTTATTTTCAGATACTGATTTTTCTTAATTCTAACTTACACGAGCATAGAAATAACTATGCTCCTATCAGAATTTTCTTCACAAATTCATTTTGTAGATAAAGCACCAGTCAATGAGTTTTCCTTAAGTACCCATCTTCATTCTCTGTCCTGTACCCCTATAGGTAATTATTGGCCAATTGAATAATTGTGAGTAAATTTCATGGGCTACAAATACGTATAAAATTGGAAATTCTATGTATATTGTATGACTTTTTAGTGTATTTGCATCAAGGTACCTTAAAATATAGTTGTTGCTTGGAGTGATAGCACAGAAGGTAGGGCATTTGCCTTGCACATGGCCTACTGGGTTCGATCCCCGGCATCCCATATGGTCCCGTAGTACTGACAGAAGTAAATACTAAGTGCAGAGCCAGGAGCAACCCCTTAACATCACCAGGTGTGATCCAAAGAACTATGTTGTTACGACTGCCAGATAGTTCACAATCAGGTAGTCCACATTCACATTTTTTGTTTTTTTTTGTTGTTGTTGTTAGACAATATATGTGTGTGCCTTAGTGGTAAGCTCTTTTTAAAATATGTTAAGGATTCATATAATAGCAAACGTATTTGCTATTGTCATTGTGTCAAACAGAATAGTGATTGAGAACTGGTCACATTATCAGCAAGGTGGGAATTTAATGTCCTAAGTAATATATTTACACATCAAAACCCATTAAAATACTTAGTTTTAATCATTTTTATTGTTAAAGTTTCTGGTGGTCCCCTAGCGAGACACCTGTCGTATTCTGCAGTCATTTGACATATGTATTGTTTGAGTTGATATGCGGTGTTTCAGATTTTTAAAGGTATCCTACATTTCAGTCAGTGATCATAAAGATATTTATTTTCCCCATGCCCCCAACTAATGTAATCAGATTATATTATTAATTCTTAGTATGACATTACACATAAACTCATCTAGATATACCCGTATTAGAGAAAACGATTACATTTTCTACCCCTAGGCTGGGCTGGAGCGATAGCACAGAGGGTGAGACTTTTACCTTGTACGCAGCCGACGACCTGGGTTTGATTCCTCCTCCCCTCTCAGAGAGCCCAGCAAGCTACTGAGAGTATCTTGCCTGCATGGCAAAGCCTGGAAAGCTCCCCGTAATATATTCGATATGCCAAAAACAGTAACAAGTCTCACAATTTGTTGTGAGATGTTATTGGCGCCTGCTCGAGCAAATGGATGAATAATGGGAGGACAGTACTACAGTGCAGTGCTACCCCCAGGCTAGGTCATGGTACCCTTGATTATAGAACTTTTTCCTAGAATTTGGGATAGT